GGCGCAGGGAAAGTGGTGGGGAGACACGCCAGAGGAGGGAGACACGGGTGGGATCTGTAGGACGAGGTACCTGACAGTCCAGGTTTTACTGGACTTCCTGAACCCGAAATGTACAGTCAGGTTTTTTTTTAGTAATAACCCCATGAGCATCTCTTTCGGGCCCGTTGTATTACAGACACTTTATGAACTACACTGGCAGTTTTCAACCTTTTTCATCTCAAGCCACACATAAACTAGTTACTAAAATTCTGCAGCACACCAAAAAATATATTTTGCTGATCTGACAAAAAATAGGTATACTTTTGATTGATTTACAAAAAAAATAATAGTAATTACCAACCATTTTTGCTCCAAAGTGACTTTTTAAAAACTCTGGTGCTCCCATGGCTGATGTGGCTAGTGGACTGAGTGCCAGCCTGTGAACCGGGAGGTCGCTGAGTTGAGTCCAGGCTGGAGCACACGCCTGGGTTGTGGGCCAGGTCCCTGGTTGGGGGCATGCAAGATGCAACCAATTGATTTTTCTCTTGCACATGGATGTTTCTCTCTCTCTCTCTCTCTCTCTCTCTCTCTCTCTCTCTCTCTTTCTTTCTCCCCCTCTCTCTCTAAAAATAAATAAAATCTTTAAAAAAGGATTTTAAAAAATCAGCTGGCTATACTTATATATAAGGATTTCTGGCACCAAGAATTAACCAATCAGACAGAACCTTATTATACAACATGACCAATAAGATGCAACTCTACTACATGACCTAGATATTCATGATTCAACCCGGCATTTGCACTGGTGGCTATTGTTGTGTTGCTGCTATCATTTCTTTTTATTTGACAAGCTAATGGAGAAGAGGTCAGTGCCCCTGACTAAATAGTGAGGTATTGCTTGTTTTAGACAATTTTGTGGCACACCAATTAAAAATCACCAAACTACACTAATAATTCATCCTCACATTTCTCCCTTTCGTTCGTAGAAAATCATCACATATTTGATAGAGTCATAGTGGACTGCCACGGTCTCCCTGTCAAAGATCCCTCTTGAACAATCACTGGACAGTAAAATGACCGTGGCACTCCTTGTCACACCACCTACCAGAGCCCTCTGTCCTAAGAGAAAAGATGACGGTGGTGTCCTGCCTCCCCTCTGGTGCTGCCCTTCGGGCTCACAGAGAGTCTTCTCCCAGCCGCTGTGCTGGGGACCCCGTGACCTTCATCTGAACACAGACTGAGAGCTGGTTTGGTCAAGTGACTCCAACAGCGAATGCCTGTGGGATGCTTGGGGTTGTATTGTTATTTATCTTGAATCCCATATATTAGATTGCCTTGTTCTTTTCTGGCCCTCTGGTACCTAGAGACTCCAAGTGGCTTATAACGGATCACAATGGACAGGGCTGAGTCCTCGCCTGGGGAGGAGCCGCCTTCGGTAAACAAGGCTCATCACTCATACTGCACTGGGAACTCTGGTCTTCTGTTTTTTGTATTTTCCTCCTATCACCGTGCACATGTGCGCACACAGCCCCCACAAAGACAGTGTCACCTTCATTCCCTGCATTTAGATTTCGGAGATAATATCTTACTCCTAAGTGAATTTAACATAGACACAGAGTCCTTCAAATTTCCAGGAAAAGTGAAGTATTTGGGAGGAATATTTGGTCCCTTTCCCTTAGGATCAACTCCCCTCATTTTCCCCACTTGCTTACAACATACATTTACTCCGGGGTAACCGGTTGGTCTCTGTTGGGAATCCAGAGAGGCTCATATTGTCCAGTGCTGCAGACGAGTATTGCGTTGTGTTGAAGCCTTGCGTGTGTTCTGCACACAGGCTCTCTCTCAGAAATGCCAGGTTCCTTCCCTAGCCCTTCTCCTATAGTCTCTCTGGTGTATCATGAAGGAGTTCCATGCAGCAGAGGGAATGTTTATTAGAACAGCCCCTTATTTCACTTGCCACATTAGTTAGAAGGGATAATACTCAAAGTGTCACTCCAAATTAGAAAAGCTAATATTGCTTGCTACCTCTAATTTTGCATCAGCAAATCACATGCTTGCTACCTACCCTTGCTTTCTCGTCATTATTCTTCTGCATTACTCTTGTATTGAGCTGTAGCTTCTTGAGAGTGGGGACCACCCATCTGCTGCCCCTCTCCTAGCTGCCAAAGCAGCTGTTGCCCAGTCTGCGCTCAGTCCGTGTCTCTTGAATTTAATTTAATTATGGCAGAGCTCTAATAGCTACACATGGCTACCTGTCCTCTAGTGCTCATGTACGGGGGTTAGATATTGGTGGTCCTTGATGCTCTCACCTCATTCCTTCTCTTACTCTGCGCGATCTTTTTACACGTAATCCACTCCCAGGGCCCTAACGGCCAAGTGTGAGGTTGATGGTGATTTTTAAATGATCTCCAGTCCAGCTTGTTCTCCTGGGCTTCCTATTCATCCTACTCTGTTGTCCTTCAGATACCACAGAAACAGCATATCAACCCTGAACCTTCTCTCTGGCGTGTCACCTCTGATGGGGAACGAGAATACTATCTAGAGGGCCAGCTTTTCAGTTCTCTTCCTTCCTTCGCCTCTTCATACAGCAGACATTTGCTGAGTGATCCGTAAATTGAAACACCAAGCCGAGACTCAGTGACCACAGATACATTGTCCCTCTCTGGAAAACGCTTAAATGCATTACAGAACACAAGGAGTATATACAAAGAGCCGTGCCATTATGTAAGATATGTTTACTGATCACTGTGGCATTTCGAAGTCGGTTACCAGTATCTCGTCCTTCTTTATCCCCTTTCCTGCAGATGCAAAACTCCTAAGTAACTTTATTTGATATATTCACGTGCCTTCCAGAGGAAGGGTTTATCAAGGTTTGCATACGGTCATTACCAACGTTTCCTCCTGTTTGCCTTTCATTCTCTCTACCACTTTGTTTTGGGACGGTGGTGCGTCTTACTGTATCAGCCTTGCGATCACCACCACGTCCTCTCCCAGGTGAGCTCAGCCTGAACTCTTCATCAGTCATCCATTCCTATTAATTTCATCCTTTCTCCTTAATATCTCTTGTATTTGTCCTAACATGCTTAATATCATACTTTATCTGAAGTATTTAACCAGGTTCTTTCTCTGTCTTCATTGTGAACCTGGCCAGGCAAAACCGTCTTCCCCATTGCCAGAGAAGATTTTTAAAACCCAAATGAAATGTTGTCATTTCTCTTGTTGAAATAATTCAGTGGCTCCCCGTGATGTTCAGGATAAAATCAAAACTTCTTAGAATGCTAAACTAGGCCCTGTGCGGTCTGCCTCCCACCTCCTCTTACAGGCTCTTGTGGCACCACTGTCTGCCCTTCCTCCTTCCCTCCCAACCACCTGTGTAGTTAAGAGTGTGAACTCGGGACTCAGTTCTCTGGGTTCAAATCTGACCTCTGCCACTTACTAGCTACATAACCTTGGAAAGTCACTCATGTACTCTCTGCCTTATTTTCTTATCTGTAAAATAAGGGACACAGTAGTTTCTATTTCATATAATGATTTGGTAGACTCCAAGATCTAATATATGTTAAATGCTAATAGTGACCTGATTGATACTAAATGATTAATCTATGTTTGGGTGTTGTGTTTTGCTATTATTGTTGTTAATCCACTTGAAGTTCTTTTTTGCATGTGCTCTTTCCTGTGGTTGGAGCCACCCACACCACCTTAACCTGACTCACCTCTCCCGTTGCCCGAGCTTCAGCTGGGATGCCGGCCTCTCAGGGCGGCCAGTCCATTTAGGCACTGATGCCTGAAGGAAAGGTGCACAGACAGCCGAGTTGGCTGGAGATAGCAGGATGCCTGGGTTGGCCATGGAAGAGTGATCGCACATAGACAGCCTTCCGTTTCAGGACGAGCATGTTTGCTCAGTAAACAAATGTACCTGCTTTATGATGAGGGCAAGCTCTGAGAGTGCGTGAGGGAAAATGAGATCCTTTGACTAATAGCTCCTTCAAAACCCTTCTTAAATATTCTTCGCCAAACGTCAGCCTTGTGGCTCTTCAGTGGTGCAGATCATACACGTGCGTGTGATTGAGAAATGCCTGGAGTGTAAAGGAGTGTGCATGTTCTAAAGACCAGAGAGCTTTTTCAAGCACACCCAGGTCATTGATTCTTAAATAGAGACCCAGACTGAGGTGGGGAGGGATGGAGGTGCAAGCTGGGGAAAGCCACATGCACCCCACCATCCTGAGAGTCATTGTACTCTCAGTACAAAGTCTCACTGAGAGACATCGCAATAAGAGGTACAGTTTGTAGCAGTGAGGTGCCCACACAAATGATAAGAAGTCCAAGAAAGACAGTTGAGCACTGTGATCAGACTAGGGTCCACTTGCCTTCCTTACAGATGAGGGATCTGGCCCGAGGTTTTACAGGATGGGCTCTTCCTACCCACCAGGCATCTCTGCAGACCTCACGTTGTACCCCCAGGACCTCTGCATAACCACGTGCTTTTGGGGCATGCAAGGTCTTTTTTCTTTTCTTTTTTTGGTATCTAAGAGCTTTATGATAGTGGGTCTGTCAGGTTTCATGACAGACCCACTCTACTATGAAAAATGAAAAAATAAATGTGGACGAGAAGAATGGGAGCACTCGTCCGAGTGACATGGAGGAGCTGATAGCGTGAACAGGTGCTGAGCGGAGCTGGAATGATTTAGTGTAATTTGGTAATACCATCTTTAAAAAGTAGTACACTTAATCAAGCCACTGTATTCTGAGTTGACTTTCTGTGCTTGTAATTTTTCCAAGAACAAAATGAAACCATTCGATTTCATTTTGGGGGAGAAGTACTGTACGTGTTACAGAAAGCTTAGGGATCAATTCAGAAATTGCTCTTACAGTTCTGGCACGCACTCCACATAGTAACAGTTCTTTCTAATTGCTTCTTCTCTGGGTAATATGTGCATGGGTCCAGAGATCAACCTGGGCTGTGGCTGGTTCAGTATTTTTATTATATAAAGTGACATCTACTGTTCTTTTTCCTTCATAAGGCCTGCATTTTCTGTAAAGATTCCTGCAGAGTGGCTCATCATGTGAAGGACCTCGCTATTTGATTTTAGGCTTCGACTTTTCATGTGCATTACATGTTGAGAAGGTCATGAGCGCCAGCTGTCACTCTCTGAAAGTGGAAACTGCCATCAATCACGAAGACAAGAAGTGATTTTCCTGTAATCACAAGATGACTCAGGTTAGCTGCTTTCAGCTAGTACTGCCGTTTAAATAATGTGGGGGTTTGGGGCACTGTGCGTGTTCAGGGAACCTGATTAGTCCCAGCTCCTGTGTTTTTATGGCAATGACAGAAAGTGTCATTTTATATCAGTGAGTCTGGGCGACAGACTCATAGATAGAGAGCAGGCGGACAGCTCTGGGGGTGTGGGGTGGGGAGTGGAGGGATGGAGCAAAAAGGAGAAAGAACCCATGGACACGGACAACAGTGTGGTGATGGGGGATGGGAGGAAGAGGAGGTGTAAAGGGGGTAAATGGTAATGGAAAAAATACAATAAAAAATTAAATATTAAAAATAAATAAAGGAAGTTAGAATTTATTTTTGCACTAGATGGAAAAAAGGATTTGAAAATAGTCATACAGAGTAAGTTAAAATTACAATAATATACTGGATTTAGTTTTTTTTTCGAGGTGCAAAATGCTTTTCTAGGAGTTAAAAAGCATTGTTAAATGACAGTTTTTATTATACAAAAGCTTAAAGTATAATTTGTCCTTGAAAGTAATGCGTAGATGTTAAGTTTAAAGAATCACATATTAAAAACTAAAAACAAAAACCCTGTGTATTTTATGATTAAGTATAAGTAAATTCTTCAAACTCTCCTGACTTGTATTTTTACTCTAGAATTGTAGTTTAAGTACATCTTTAAAATTTAAAGCAGAGTTTTGTGCTCTCATTTTTAACACTGTGTCTTCTGTGGCATTTATAATAGGAGCACAATTAATGAGATTTATATTTGATTTTAGTTATAAAACTGTGACTACCGCGTACCTAGGATATGTCTCCGAAACAGGAGATCAGGAACTACAGAGCGCACTAGGGGAGCCTGTCTGAGCCCTGCCTCCCTCGGAGTGATGGTCGGCCCCCGCAGCATGCTTATGGTTTATAACCTAAGACTCGAGGACCAGGTTGTCTGGAGTAAAGCAGCGTGTCTTGCCGAGGATGCTGAGGAAACAGCTCACGGACTCATTGGCTTGTCGGCTAATCACTGAGTGACTGCTCCGTGTCCAGTGCCTGCCCTCCAGCAGCTTCTGATCTAGTTGGGAACACATACACAGCTGAGAGTTCAAGGTGGTATCAGCAGAAATGCCCTAGGAGGGACGGAGATAATACATGGGCAGTATACAGAAATACTGGCAGAGATTATTTTTATCTCCAGTTATCCATGACGTCTTTATGGGGGAGGGAGAAGCTATGCTAGACTTTGAAGGCCGGGAAGACTTTGGAGGGGCTAGGTGACGGGGGAGAATTTCAGGTGACAGCGAACAGCTTGCTGGCTTCAGCAAAGACCTCAGCGGGGAGCTGTAGAGGGGCCTACTCTGGGCAAGGTGAGTAGGTTCTTTGGGTGGAGTGTTCGAGTCACGTTAGGCACAGGATACAAGGCTGGCGAGGTAGACCGGGACCCTCCAGGTCCTGGAGGGTTTTGAATGACGGATTGAGGGGTGCAAACTTTATCCCATAGATAGTAGAGATCCCCTGATGGGTTTCCAACAAGGAAGTGTTATTATCAAATAGACAGGGAGGGAAATTATCCAGCAGGAAGGAGACATTCTAAACTGCTTTCGTTGGGTTCATGGAGGGAAAATTGTAAGTTACAGCCATCGAGTCAGGAATAACGCATATGGCTGTGGTCTCTCCAGGCACCTTTTACTACCCAGGTAAGCGAGTACTGATGGAGAAGGATGTTGCGAACTCGCAGCAGCATGGATTTGCCAGAGGTGGCGAATGTGGGGGTGGGAAGAAGGCAAAGGGGACCGAGACACCAACCAGGAAATGGTAACAACAGCTCCGATACTAGGTTGTGGCGATACAAAGAAAGATGGAGAGGTGACAGGAAGATGGAGAGGTGACGAGGAAGATGGCAGCAGATCCCAACGACTCCGACCTTCTCCGGGGCTGGCATTGGCTCCCAGGTGACCCTGCCAACGCGGAGCGTTCTATCGCCGGAGACCTCCCACAGAGTGCTTTCAGCGGCGTGCAGCACGTCCTCGGGGGTTGAATATTCACCCCCCTAAGTCTAACAGTCTAATTTTTTATTTTCGCTTTTAAAGTCAGTGCATACGTGACTTGTTTAAGAAATCTTAACCTGCTCCAAAGTCATGTAGTTGTTCTCCCTTTCCCCCTAAAAGGGCTGTTGTATTTATTACCTGATAACAAGAAGTTTTCATTCACAAACGTAGTTGATAGGCACTTGGAGAACAGTATTTAAAAAACAAGTGTGTTTTCCGCTGAGTCAAAAGACGGAGGCCTGACTGTAGAGAAAAATCATGGTGCACAGACTTAGGATATGATGTAAGAGAAGTTTCCATCACAAACAAAAGAGAAGTCCCGCCAGTGACAGAGCTGTGACCCCACCACCGTCTCTGCGTGAACTCCCCGGCACTGTCCTGAGGACCTGTGCCATGGCTGACTCCTCCCTGGGGACCAGAAGCCACTGCAGGAGACAAAATGAGGCTGTCTCAGGGTTTCCTGGGTCTCGGGGGTCCAGTCCATCTCCTTGATGAGACACTGGGAAAATCTTTTCTCTGGAAGCATTTTTGGCTCCTCTGACTCTTTTTACTACGTGTACATGGTGTGGGGTGTGTGTGTGTGTGTGTGTGTGTAACTTTTCAGTGATCATTAAAGATGTTTTCATTGTGCTGTATTCACATCTGATATCAGAGTTGCCTTTGAAATTGTGACGATTGGATGTCGTTCTCAATGCACACCCATCCCCCCCATTTCTTGCCCAGAAGCATGGCGTTAAGAAAGAGTGAGAGGTGGGAAGGATAACTACCAGGGGGTCAAGGAAACTTCGTGGGTGATGGCTATGTTCACCATCTTAATTGTCTTCATGGTTTCCCAGGTGTGTACATTTACAGACTATGAAACATTTCAAGTCTTGTAGAATTTAGGGGTTGGGATTGCATTTGTTTGTGAAAATTGGAGAAGGCTGCAGGCAGAGTTTTTTCTTGGTTCACCATTGCAAATTAAGTTTGAAAATGTGGAATACAGAACTGTATTCAGTTTTCTCTCAATTTTTAAATAATATGGTTAAAATAGAAAATGTTAATATTGATAAAGAGAAAATAGAACAAACTCAGAGTAACAAATTAGCAGATTCTAATATAATATGATTGATAGTTTTCACCTTTCATTATGTAGATATTTCACATTTCTTATGATGAGCAATTCATTCCCATTTCCTCCTTTTTTTGGCTTTAAACGCCCCTGCTGTCTGTCCATCAAGAGCAGTCACTCAGGAACCTAAGCGGATGCTTCCAGGAACCCAGGGGCACTTGGAGAGCCACACATTAGCTCATACATCTTCTGCCTATGAGTAATCCACATCTTGTTATGTCACATTTAACCGCCAAAGCAAGCCACACGGCTTTGCCTGAGTCAAGTGGGGCAGGCCGGGGGGAGCATGCCAGCACAGGAACCCCAGACATCCGTGTCTCCTTACTGACCACCCTGCTGTTAGAAGCAGCATTTTCTGATGTCCTTCTCCTTGTTCCTCTGTCCATGGGAGGCACACTGAGCCACCGACTGCTTCCGTTAGATTCTTGTCACTCTCTCCCCTTCCTTCTGTACTCAAAGGCATAGAGGCTAGACAGATAATAACACAAAAACAAAACACTAAACATGAGGAGTATGGCTGACTGGAGAGGACTCTCATGGTGGTAAGGTCGGAACTCCAGCCAGCAGAAGCGGACGGGGGATGTATTGACTCTCTGAGCCGGGAAGGGTAGGGAGGGGCTCCCAGGATGGCGAGGACTAGTCCCAGGCGCTGGAAGCAGGACCCTATGCTGCCACAGTTGTTTTTCCCTCTCCGTTTGCCTCTCTTCTCTGTTTGCTTCTCTTGACTTCATTTTCTGCCACCTAAAAGCAGGCATTTTCCATGTGGAAGACAGATGGCCACTGGCAGCCTGTCCCTTACATCTTTCCCAGTGCTGCCAGAGGAAAGGCCAACATTTCTCTAGCTCTACACTGAGCTGTCTTGAGGAAGGACTCTGATTGGCTTACCTTTCATCACCTGCTGACCACTGAAGCAATCAAAGACTGTGTCCAGGAATATGGGATACCATGATTGGCCAGGGCCACGCCTGATGCCCACCCAAGGAGGGCAAGATACAAATTGTCAGTACGCAGAAGGTGAACTTGATTGAACGAGTAAAGACAGTAGGTACTCCAGTCTACTTAGAGTTAGGTATACCTAGAGGGATCTTTGAAAATTGTAAATCCAATCATGTTGCTCCCCCACTCACCTAACAACTTAAAACCTCTTTCTATTACACTTCAAATAAACTCCAAATTGGGCCTCCAGATTTTCAGAGCATCACTTTATGTGACTTCTCCTTATTTTTCAAATGATTTTCCCTTCTCACATGACTGACCGACAAGGCGTTGGCTACAAGGGCCTAGAATTTGACTATACACAGATCAGAAAGCTGGCTAAACCAAACCCTGTCTCCCTAGCTTCTCCTGGAACCTTGCACTTTTATTTCCGTGTGAGTCTTACTAGCTTAATTACATTACTGAATCCACAAGGAATTTGCTTATATTTATATAATTCTCATGGAAAATATTGCAGGAAACTTAAATCTATGGAGTATCAGAAGTGTCACATTGGATAGTGCTAACTACAAGTCATTTTCATGGTCAGCTATTTATTCCGCAGTGTATTATCTTAACTATAAAATACAATAGAAACAAAGTGGGTTTATATTGTTCCCACATTTTAAAATAGCTCTTTGAAGTTACTTGTTTGTGGTAGAGGCCAGGCAACTTGGGAGAGGACTTAGAGTAAATTCTCCGAGGGGTGTTCAGTCAGATACTACAAATTCTGAGCTTGTAGTTAGAGCCAAATGGAAGGAAATTGAATTTTTGTTGATTGCCACTTAACATTTGCAAGTACGATAAAGTAAAATGTATTTGTTCTAGGGTTCTTGAAATTGTATTGCCTGATTGATTTCTTAAAGAGAAAAAATTTAAACAGACTTAAGTCTCCTGAGATTTTGATTTAAAAGAAAAGCACTCAGTGTTTTGGTTTTTTTCCGTGTGTAGGCAGTTAGAGCCAGCCATATGTTTACTTTGTAAATTCTAGTTGAGGGTGCAATATAAGCTGTTTCAATTTGGGTGGAAGTTTTAACAGGCTTCACAAATGAGATTTGTACTCTGTTAGGAGTTTGCCAGATTTTTTGCTGGGACTGTGGGCTGGTCCATGGTAATTTAAGTTACTGCTAATTTGTTTTAAGAGTAAATCCTGAAAGGCTCTTTCTTGCAATAGAAGGAATGATGAAATTAGAATACAGTTGTCCCCTGTGACCTCAGTGGATGCCTGGAACCGCTGATAATACCAAACACTAGATGTACAATGGTTTTTCCTATACAGATAGAAGTTTACACACACACACACACACACGCACACACATATACATATACATATAAAGATTAATTTATAAATTAGGCACAATAAGAGATTAATAACAACAGTAATGAAATGTAACAGTTGTAACAATATATTGTAATAATAGCTATGTGAATGTGGCCTCTCTCTCTAAATATCTTCTTGCACTGTGCTCACCTTCTTCTCATGACGATGTGAGATGCTATCACACCTGCGTCACGAGATGAAGGGAGGTACATGTGCTGGGCCAAGGCACGTTTCATGTCCTGGGCAGGATGTGAAGGACAGCAACAGATTTTACCACACCACTCAAAATGGTGAATAATTTAAAACTTAAGAACTTTATTTCTGGAATTTTCCATTTAATATTTTCAGACTGTCATTGACCACGTGTAACGTAAATGTCAGAAAGCAAAACTGTATGTGGAGAGACTACTGTGTTAGCACTTGATGATAATTGTAGTAATGATTGTTTTAAGCAAGAGTCAGCAATGAATCGGATGCTAACCTTGGTGAGAAACAGGGTATTTCCATAGTCTCCAGAGGTGTGCATGGGATGCAACAGGAGCACCAGGGGCAGGGCTGAACTCACCCATCTGCACCTGTAGGGCCAGATGGATTCTCCTATGATTGGACTTACTTTCATACTGATTTGTCAAGAGCCACAGTCTGAGCACCTAGCTGCTTCCCTGGACTACTCCTCACTCACGGGCCACAGGAGAATAATGAAAAGATTAAGCCCCAAACAGCAGAGACCTCTGAGACCTGCTCTTGTACTTCTCCTGTTCCTTTCTGGTGGCCCTTGTCCTGCATGGAAAGTCAGGGAGGGCTTTCTGGTGATGCTTGTGCTGAGAACGAACAGAAGGTAGTGGGACAAACACAGTGTCTGCGCAGGTCCCCGGCTGCTGGGGCGTTTGTGGCACCTGCAGAACTGTGGATGCTGGCGGTGGATTGTTGAGAACCGCCCTGCCTGGTATCAGAAGCTGTAACCCTTGCCAAGGCTAAGGCTGAGGGAACGACCTTCGACCGTAAGCCACCAAGGAGACACAAGCTTATCTCCCTGGAAGGAGGAGGTCAGCTTCTGCTCCTTTTACTTCATCCATAACTGGCCCCCAATGCTTGGTTGGTTAGCTAATGACGGGTAAGATTCCCCAAGGGGGGAACAACCTAAAGACAGGCAAGAGTATGTGGGAGGCCTCCAAGGAAGGACTTTGGGGGCTACAGCAAAAGGAGGTGATGGACCCTCACCCCTCAGCTTTGACAAAGCCTGAGTCCTCATTGTCTGCAAGAAAATCTCCTAATCTCTTGGCTGCCTTACTTCCCTTGCTCCACCTAAGCCTGAAACAATGACGGAGGGTGGTGCAGCCCTGTGCTGGAAAGGGCAGGTTCCCCAGGCGATCAGGCCTAAGAAAGAATATTCACATCCTGTGAAACCTGCTTCGTTTAGAATGCTGTCAATTAAATGATAAATAAGGGTCCAAGGAATAAGTAAGTTTGTTCCTCAAAGTTTTATGGCTCTTTAGCTATCTGACCCTGACTCAAAATAGGCCCTCAGAGTTCCTTGTTATTTGATCCTTACTTCCAAGCAATGAGTAATGAGCTTTACCTGGATTTCTGTGTAAACGAACCCAATAAAAGCCGTTGAGGAAAAGGCTCTTGGCCCTTCTCCTGTGAGAAATCGGCCACCTTTCCTCCCCAAGCAGATCATGTCTTGGTAGACTTATTCTCATCCATGGCGGACGGGGGGCCCTGCAGACAAAGCTTCCCCACAGTGGATGGCGAGCAATGGCCCCTAGAGGCAAGTTGAGGCCAGATCAGAAAGAGACTTGCATGTCCTCCTGCGTACCTGAACTGGACCAGACACGCTATGGAATGCCTTTGAAGAAGTCTAAGATAGGAAGCAATACAATTAGATTTATGTTTTATAAAAATAATTGTGGCAGAATTGAAGAAAGGGATGGAAGGGCGAAAAAACACCTATTTACAGGCTGCTGAAGTAATTCAGGCAAGAAATAAGTACCTTTACTAAAATAGAATCAGTACAAATATAGAAAATGGTTGGGTTCCAGGGACATTAGAAAGGTAGAATCAATAGGACCTTGTGACTGATTGGAGCGGTGAGTGGCGTATTATGAATTTTTAACATCTGTTTGGCACCAGAACGATTTATCCAAGTGAACCATTGGTATACGCTTCCCAAATGAGGCCGGCTCTCGCACAGGAAATGAGAATGACTAGCTCCTCCCCAAACCATTATTTTCTGAAGACTTGCAGGTAAAAATTAAGCATTTTCTAGTCTTTGGACACCTGTGGGAAGATGACAGGTTCGGTTTTTCTCTCGTCAAGTATAAGATCAGCACAGCCTCTGGCAGCTGTAGGTTCCCCGTTTTAGGCAACCTGCCTCCTCCTTCACCTCCCAGCGGTGGCCCTGTCTCCCCAGGATGGACCCTGAAGCCGCCCGGCTGGAGAAGCAGCACGTGCACGACGTGTATGAGAGCACCGCCCCCTACTTCAGCGACCTGCAGAGCAAAGCCTGGCCCCGCGTGCGCCAGTTCCTGCAGGAGCAGAAGCCCGGCAGCCTCATCGCTGACATAGGTAACCCAGGCCTGCGGCGCGCAGTGTGAAATGCGTTCCGTACTGTCGTGTCTTTCCTGTTCAGATCCAGTGTTCATTTTTGCTCGAGCCAGCAGTCTGAAGTGGTGCCCTTGGCTTGCCAGTACCCAGCCCATTCTCTTGATAGCAGAAATTCGCACGGTCAAATCGGAAAGTAGGAAACGTCCTCAGGTCTGCATTTAGACAGTGGCGATCTTTTCAGGGCTTTTGTCCACATCCTTCCACAAAATCGACCTGGCATGGGTTGACTGAATCAGGACGGAAATGACTGCTTGTGAAACTGACGATTTTAAACTTAGAGATATTCACATTTGTAAACACAAGATTGGTGGCGCACCTTGAGTGGCTTTCATGCCTTCCACAGAAAATGCAGAAATTATAGATTTCCTATAACCTCTTAATTAATCTCATGGATTTTTTCCCCTTAACTATTCCGTGGGTGTTTCATTATTAGAGCTTATCTTTAGGTAGATCATGTCTTTGTAATCACTGACTTCCCTGGAAGATTTTGGCTCAGTTTGTTTCCAAATTGAGTGGTGAACCGCAGCCCAGTAGATCTAAGCCCAAGGCCTAAGCCATGCTGGGATTCCCACTTGAGGCCTGCCCACGTAAAACAACTCTGTAGCAATTGCATGATGATTACGCCCACAAGAGTCATAAGTCTGTAGTTACAGACTCTGTCTCATTTGACATTCACTCTACATGCTGGTAAGGGAAACAGACACGTGCCCAGGGCATTTGGCTTATCAAAGACGGTGCAAGCAGTGTGGAATTTGGGGAAGGGGAGCATTTCATGGAGAAATGATGAGTCTGAAAATATCTCTACCATGTCAGTTTTTAAAAGTAAATCTGGTTTTGGAAAATACAGTGACTTTGGAGCTCTTACCGCCTCTAATCTAAGCAAAGTCCCAGGATCTGAAACCAGTCGGTAAGAGGAGGAGCCATTCAGCACCTGGCTTTAGGGCAGCGGTGTGTACGCAGCCTACTTTCTCACGCCTTACATCTAAAATTCCTAATGAGGCGCCAATGTGAGTGTAAGAAAATGAAATCATTAAGGGGGCAATGACATCTAGATTATCTTAAAATAATAAAATTAAAAGAATAATAGAATAATTAAGAAGGTAAAATAAAAACAATAAAAGAATAAAATATGCTCTCAGAGACAAAAGGCCTTTCCAGGTATGATACCAAAAAAAGTCAGAAATCATAAAAGAAAATGCAGTTGATTGTCATTATTCACAGTATTTGTGTTCTATAAAGTTGCCATGGACAGTGAATCAGTGAATCCTGAGTATAGCCCCTAGGGAAAATACAGGGTTAGGTCCCTGTGGGTCTCTGCTCATATTTTTGGAAACTGGTCAATACCTAACGTTGTTCCATGTATGTATCTGTGTAGAGACACTGTATTTACTATATATTGTTGGTTCGTGAACAGTGAACTCACAGACAACAGCTGTAATGATGCCCAAACAAAGTGTATTTACAACACGTGCTGCCGTGAGGCCAGCATCTCAGTCTTCCTGCCCTTGGGAACCCTGGGCAGCACTTCAGCACGGTGCTGAATTTTAAACAGTGAAATCACCAACAAAAAGTACAGACATGCACAGAGTGTGTGTGGTGCGGAATACAAAATAGAAGGAAATATAAGCATGCAGACAGACGCTTTCTGTTCTCTCCCTTCAGAACCACGAAAGGTTGGCATTTAATGAGGTTTTGCAAAGGACCGGATGCTTGGGTACTGGTGCTTGCTGCAGTACCGAAAACCTTCTGATTTATTTCCTGCACGTTTACGAGAGTGGGTGACCAGGCTCGGCATTCTGTCTCAGCTGGCATCAGTGAACCTTAATTATGCTTTGAGTGGCTCATAATTTCAAGCAACACCTATTAAAAAGGAGTTATTAAAAAGTGTGGTGTATTTCAGAAGCAACAAACTAATTATCTTTGAATACTGGTACATATATTTTCAAAATATCAGGCATAAGAATCTATAGGTAGTTCTGGAAGGTACAAATATCAGCTTTGTTGATATCTGTAAATATCTCTGGAAAGGAACTAGAGGGCACGCCTGTGCTAGAATATACCAGGCACTACATGGCAGAGAGCTTTGTTTCTAGATGTTACTCACTCATGTTACAATCCTCTTCACTGTGACATCAGTGAGATCCAATGATCCAAATCTTTGGGCAGATAAATGCTGAATTACTTGGGTCTGTGCCACTGGAAAGTGGAAGTCAAGAATGGTCTCTTTAAGAAAAAAATAGTTCTTTATGAGAGTTGTGTACTTAGTCATGTGAGACCATTGAAAACCTAGCACTGACAATAGGCTTTTTTCATTCAAAATAAATTTTAAAATGTTTGAAAAGCCTGTTCTATTTATATCCATTTAAAAGTTCTTGGCAGTAGTTTGTTTTATGTGACCAGGAAGCAATAAGACTGTCTAGAGAGATCACACAACAATCAATGCCGTAACGTGTAGATCTGCACAAAATGAAATGTGTATGTGGAAGTCACTTACATGAAGAGACTGGACACTGTCCCTGGGATACAGGGACCTATCATTCCTTGCCACGGGCCAGCCAGTATGTGTGTGAGCATGCTACCTCCTGTGGATATAATGTCCCTCTTCTACATGAAAATATGTAAGAGCTGTAGAAGGCTTTTCTTTTGCTTTTGTGTGTCCCTTCACCCCATCTTGCATTCTGTCTTGGTTAGTTAGTATAAAGTAATTTCTGTCCTTGTCATGAGACAGGCTAACTGACAGTGTCCCGGTCTCCATTAAGGACAGCAGGTAACACAGTTTTTCTTTTACAGGTTGTGGGACTGGAAAGTATCTTAAAGTGAACAGCCAGGTGCACGTCCTGGGCTGTGACTACTGTGGGCCGTTGGTAGAGATTGCCCGGAGGAGAGGGTGTGAAGTCATGGTGTGTGACAACCTCAATCTCCCCTTTAGGGACCGGGGCTTCGATGCCATCATCTCCATAGGAGGTAAGGCCGCCAGGTCACACGCTCACTCTTCACCATGAGAATATAATGTTACGTGGTTGGGGTCATTCTTACGGCCCAATACCCACTCTTTGTGGAAAGGTCTGTTCAATTCCTTTTATCTCATTTTAAAAAATATTGCAACTCAGTGAGTTAGTTGACTAATCTCAGATGTACTTCCGGGAGTACATATAATTGTTTAAACTAGTTAAACTGTCAAACTGGTATTGTATTCTTTTTGATGACTCATTGCAATTTCTTTTGCTGATGAGTAAGAAAGCATTAGAGGAATTTTACATACTGAAAAGAATACTTTGTTATATTGTAATGTAGCCAGATCTTCCAACCTGGAGTAGACCTTTATAAGTCATATTACCTTTTTTAGGCCATGAGTGTGCTCTTTGTTAGCAGAATACTGTAGCACTAATGCCACCTGGAAGGATGCGTCATCCAATCTGCCACTTGCTGGTATGCAAGTCACTGGGGAAGATAGCCCCACCTGGCCCCAGATTGCATTGTTTTTATAAGGCCTCTCAGCTCTCTACCTGCCAGAGATTGCTCATAAATCAAGCAAATATGCTTCTCATATCCTCCCAGCCAATGGGCCCATAAAATACACATGCCAAAGTTTTTTTTAAAAAAATAGCAAAACTTTATGCCTGAAATTTACACAGGTAAGGCTCATTTTACTCAGGACACATATTCCTGAACCTTAATATGTTAGTCATCTTTAAATATGCTTGGGAAACTTGCTATTTAAAGGAATTGTATGGCAAATTCTTTTGCAAAGCAAAAAATCTTTCACAAAGTAAATTATTTGCCCCAACACACTTTAAAAATTAATCTATTTGAACATAACAAGCTTTATTAAAGCAAGGTGAGCATATATAAAACTGACAGACCCGATAAAAAAAACACAGCATGAAACTCTTCGTTCCCTCCTGAAACAGAGGAGAAGCGGATTTACTCAGCATTATATAGGGACTGTATCTTTGTATAGCGCGGCCTGGACGCCATAACCCTGGACTAGTTAGGGCTGGTAGGAGGTGGTTGCCATGGAAACCCACTATGTGTCAGTCCACTTCTTTGCAGTTGAAACTGTTCAGTTCACTTTGGCTGTCAGCACTAAGAGGAGGGATCCTTGTGGGATCAGGCGATACCAGACAATCCTTAAAATCTCGAGTACAAAGGACATTTTTGGTTTTTGGTTTCCACCTGAAAACCTGGAAATTGGAGGGAGGTCAGAGAAGAGGACTCCTTGCCCGTCTTGAGCTCACATTAGGTTCCGGGTCTGCAAGGCCACCTGCATCCGGGCTGGGCTGCTGAGTGAGCCACCGGCCTGGGCGAGGGAGACCGACCAGCTTCCCCACTTTGGGGAAATGCTCCGTGTGTCTGGGGCCCAGCACGTCCCCACTTCCAGCTGAAGTCCCCTGCCTTGTCCCAGAGGAAATGGAGCGTACGGGTTCTCGACTTGTGATTAAAACTGTTCCCTTGAGTGGAAACACAGCCTATGTCTTTATGAACTGTAGCTGTAAATTAATCCGATGGAGTTATTTTCCTGCTGAGTTTCCCATTTAGAACTAAGAAATTTCAGTAGACCATCTCCTATGTTCATACACATTTACTTTCCTATTTAGAATTCTGTGTGTTGTTTCTTTTTGCTTAACGTGAAGAAACATGCTTTTGCTTTCCCATGTCTCTTAATAATAATGTGAGAGGTACGCATCAGACCTAATTATACATTTCCTCTGTGGTGCTGACCGATTACAAAACACTCTTTCTACTTTTAGAACAGTCCAGAAATAAAAAGAATGATTCAACAAAAATTGTATAAAAAACTTGCACCAGTGTATTAAAATAGTGTCAACTGTTCACTTTGTGTCAGTGGTTCTCCTCTTGGGGCTATGTTGTCCCCACCCTCGGGGGACACTTGCCAGTGTTGGGAGGCTTTTCTCGTCGTCCCAACTGAGCACGTGTGTGTGCACTACTCTCATCCAGTGGGTGGGCCCCACAACGAAGGATGCTCCGCCCCCGAGTGTCAGCAGTGCTGAGGCTGAGAAACCCGGCTTTACGCCAAACTCATGGATTCTGTACATCTACAGCTCAACAGAGAAACGTATGTTCTCAGACTAACTCCGTAAAGGGCTCCTTCTTTGAGGGTGGGACTGAGGGGCACAGTCCAAAGCCTCGAGAACTAAAGCAACGACTGGTCAGAGGTTGCCAGGTAGCCACCGATGGATGGAGGCCAGCACACGCCAGTTCCTGCTCTTCGCACTCACATCAGCCTCCTGCCTCAGGCTTCCAACGCTCAGGCTTCCAACGCTTCTGCCTGGTCCCCAGGTTTGCGTGCTGCTCCCGGGAACAAACCCCTGACTGAGAGCAACACAAACGGTGTCTGTTGGGTGACCTTCCTTTGGCAGCTTAATTTATGTAATGATCTCACTTCAGATGGTTACCATCTCTCGGTACCAAGTATAAACTCCAGGAATGTATTTGTTTGAAACCACTACCAATAGCTGGAGTGGGGGGAGGGCTACAGGAGCGGGCTCCCTCTCCCCCTCGTAACTCACATGCACGAGCGACAGTGTCCAGATTTCCCTCTGAATGACTTCCTACCGGAGATACGGGATGAGCCCGTGTGCGGAAAAATAAATCTTTGTTTTCTCTTAGCATAGTACTGTGATTACACTCCCCAAGGTGCTGCAGACAAACACTTTCTAGCTATTTATGATAAAAAGTTCCAATTAGACAAAGGCAATCCTGCTTGACTTTGACTCTGACTTTGCAGGAATTGAAAGTAAAAAGGATGACCTGGAAGTTGACTTTTTAAAATATATACACAACCATTTTACATTACATTAACATTATGCAAAATGATAAGCCATCATTTGGACTTGAGTTTGGCTGGCTTATTTTTGCATTTGAGCTTGGCTGGCTTATTTTTACCCTATAAACAGAAAAACAGTCTTCAACATTTTTCTCCACTTCTATTTGCTTTATTAATTTTATGAGCACTAATCAGTGCTTTAGAGGTAGTAGCAACCATTCATTAAAGCAATGAATTACTTCATAGAATTCTAGTAGGAACACTTACCTAACTTAGTGCGCCCTTGCAAATTTTTATTAATTCACATTGTCATCCTCTGGTTAACAAAACTCATAAGATTGTGGAACTGAAAGAGATTTTACACGTTGTTCATTCTAGGTGTCATATGAAGAGACTTAAAATCCATAGAAGTTAAACAGTTTCCCAAGATCCATTGTCTGCTCATTACCCGAGTCAAACTGAAAAATAATGTCTCTCCAGGCCTGTGCTATTTTCACCATGTGCCCTGTCCTGTAGGAAATAAGATTCCACTACATGTCAAAATCACATCAGCGTTATATGGACAACACGAGTACATAAATGCGTAGGCTTACGTACGCGTATGCACATTGAGATCTCGTTTCTTCTTTTGTCAGTTATACATCATTTTTCTACAAAACAAAGAAGAATCAGAGCAATAAAAGAAATGGCCCGAGTCTTAGTGCCTGGAGGCCAGCTGATGATTTACGTCTGGGCCATGGAGCAAAAGAACCGGCACTTCGAGAAGCAAGACGTGCTGGTTCCGTGGAACAGGGCCCTGTGCTCGCGGCTCCTGTCCGACCCCAGCCAGCCTGGGAGGGAGAAGCAGTGTGGACGCCCGGACAGGAGCCACCCCTGCCACCCTCCTTGCACCGTGTGTAGCTGTTCCGTTCGTTTTAAGGAGCGATGCGGCTCGAAACGGTCCCGCAGCGTGGACTATGAACCTGCTGCGGCTGGAACCTGCTGTGCAAGTATTTCTAAGGGAGGTGGGGAAGAAAATGGATTCTATAACACGTTAGGAAAATCTTTTCGCTCCTGGTTTTGCTCCAGATCTTTGGACGAGTCAACTCTGAGGAAGCAAATTGAAAGCGCGAGACCCTTGAAAAGCACAGAAGCTCGGGCCGCTAGTGCTGTATCAGTCCAGCCTTCCAGCCACTCTAGTCTAGACCTGGATCGCCAAGAGCCCTTAGCAACAAGAGAGCAGAACTTAGATGAGGACGTGTTTCTGGAAACCTCTCAAAAACATTTGGAGTGGCTGAGAGCACCAGGCACAAGGAGACACCTAAATGGAGACCATCAGGGGGAAGCTGGGAGAAATGGCCGTGGGAGTTTTCTGGGTAGCAGCGACACTAACGAGAAGCGTGTGGCCGCAGGTGACTTAGTTCAAGAAGGGAGCCCTTCTGCTGGTAAAATATTGAGAAGGATTTCTGCAGCCGGGTCCACAGACTCCATCCCGGATGACGCAATTTCTGTGGAAGGCCGACAGCCAGACGTTCGGGATTCCAGAGCCTTTATGCGCTACTACCACGTGTTTCGAGAAGGCGAGCTCTGCGGCCTGCTGACAGAGAGCGTGTCCGAGCTCCACGTCCTGAGCTCCGGGAACGATCACGGGAACTGGTGCGTCATCGCGGAGAAGAAGGGGGGCCGCGACTGACGGCTCGTTTCGGACGACTCCGCGGATGAACCATGTGCTTTCCGCCGGGTCTGGGATGGTTACCTGAATTGGCTTCCACTTTTCTTTATTTCCTCTTTTTTTTTTTTTTACCCATTTATGCTTTTTTTCTGTAGAGACGATGAAAAGTCATCTTTTTAATCTTTGGGTAAACACAGAAGCAGGCATCTGAAGGTTCTGAGGGTGTTTGTGGTTACAGGTTGCTAGGAGAGCTCTGAAGAAGAGACACACGTGAACCTCAGCACGGTTTGGGTTTTTTCCCGCTGAAAGATGAGCTTATTACGAGATGACATGTATATTGTTTTTTAGTATTATAAACTAATTTTAAAAGAGTCTGTTTTTAACTGTACCTTCTGAAAACAGCATTTTGTAAAGTTAGGGGGGTAATTTCTGCTTCTCAGATTATAATTTAGATCTATTTGCCAGCAAACAGGTAAACTTCTTTCACTGAACAGGTGGAAATTGCACCTTGTAATCAGTTATTTTGTGGCCAAGGCCTTGCCTCAAAGTCTTCAGAAAGGTGAGAAACCGTAGAGAGAGACAAGACGTGTTAGCTGAAAATTAACAATATTTACAACTCTCTTTTGGCTCTAAAATAAGCCTGCCTCACCCCCTTTTTGGCTCCTGAGGTCGTCTGGTGGAAACGAGACGTGACTTGTGTTGTTTGGTGCATAGTTTGCATCAGAGGGACGATGGAAACAGGCGTAGAATTGGGGTGTCAATTAAAAATTAATTTAGCGTCTTCCATTTCTTAAATTAGGACATTCAACCACAAGTATAAGTGGTTTTATTGCTGGAAAGAAAAGATGCTCAGAGAAGCCCTTACAATGAAGGCTTAATGGCCTTTTAGTTACGAGTGGATGTTTTCTCGCTCTGAAACCTCTTGTCAGATGCGTCTTGAATCCCAGCCCTGCTGCTAGGAGTCTGCTGGAGGTCATTCTGTTGGCAGCTTACCACTCACACAGCTCTCAGTTTCCTAGACCGCTCCAGAACAGGTTTCAGCAAGTAGCCTGGATGAGCAGCCTTCTGCACACACATGCCCCAAGTTGTATGAAATACTCTCTGGCATGGTTCTTGGGAGAGACGTTGTCACGTAATCTGGACAGGGCTGTAACTTAAAAAAACTCTCACTTTGCATAATAGCTCTCACTTTTTTTTCTCTTGTAAGTTTATTTTATTGATTGTGCTATTACAGCTGTCCCAATTTTTTTCTCCTATTTATCCCCCCTCCACCTGCATCCCCCCTCCATGTGCATCCCCCCACCCTCCAGCATCCCCCACGCCCCTTAGTTCATGTTCATGGGTCCTACATATAAGTTCTTTGGCTTCTCTGTGTCCTATACTATTCTTAACCTGCCCCCTGTCTATTTTATGTCTACCAGCTATGCTACTTATTCCCTGTAACCTTTCTCCCCATTCTCCCCCTCCCCCACCCCACTGATAACCCTCCATTTCTCTAATTCTGTTCCTGTTCTAATTTTTTTCCAAAGATTTTATTTATTTATTTATTTTTAGAGAGGGGAGGGAGGGAGGGAGAGAGAGAGAGAGAGAGAAACAGAGAGAGAGAAACACAGAGAAACATTAATGTGCGGTTGCTGGGGGCCATGGCCTGCAACCCAGGCATGTGCCCTGACTGGGAATTGAACCTGCAATGCTTGGGTTCGTAGCCCGTGCTCAATCCACTGAGCTATGCCAGCCAGGCCCTGTTCTGGTTGTTTGCTGAGTTTTGGTATTTTAGGTCCAGTTGTTGATAGTCATGAGTATGTTGTCTCTCTTCATCAGCTAGGCACAAGAATTCTATGCATCCAGACCTTATTTGTATGCAAATATTTAATTCTATGGTTGTTAACATCTTTTTGCTATATTTATGTGAAAAGCACTCTTAAATCTAACTGCCGCCTTTGGATATATACCCAAAATATCATAGATCTCCAATATATATGCCTAGCCATTGAAAAGCCTATATGAATATCTCGATCACTTGAAAATCTTGCTCACCTTTAAAACTGTCCTCAGAAGGAAAAACAAGTCACAAGTGAGTTTAAACGTACACAGGCTATTTGTGAGTGTTCAGTCTGCCTTAACCTGGTTATGGATTTTGCTGCTTTATCTGAAGTAACTAGAAAACTTGGGGCTCCATTATTAGTGCTGGCTCAAACAGTGTCTTTCCCGTCCCTTCTCTTGTACTTGCTGTCCCGTAAGAGTCCCACGATGTGAAGTAGAGGGGAGTGTGTGGGGGATTATGGGAATGTTTTTGAAAGCCTTTGCTGACTTCTTGATGTCTCACTGGCTTACCTGAGGAATTCCATATAAACAGTCAAATGACTTGGGAAAAGTGTGTTAACATAGACGAAGGATGCAATCAAAGTAATGTCATGGTGGGAACCACACAAGAGGCCTATTTAAATTATTTTAAAATTGTCACAATAGTGATGAAATGACATCAGCCTGTCGTGGCAACTAGCAAACCATCCAGCAGACGTCTCGGAGCATCATGTGGCAGCATCCTTTCTCATCACTCATCCGGAAGCAGGAGGGTGTGTAATTCATGTCTCTAGTTTGCCTTCCTGTGTCCTTCCAAATTCTGAATGTCAAGAATTCCTCTGCATTTTACCCAAGTGTCAATGAAATGGGCAAAGACTGGAGGTAATCCAGAGAGAAAATGATCCAACTCTAAATTAGCTGGGAACATCAACGTACTGGCACATTAATGGCCACAAACAGCATCAGCATTGGGGGGCGGGAGGGGGGCGTAAATAAATAAATAAATGGGTTTGAAGCAGGACAGAGCGGCTAACCCAGCAGCTGTTGAACTTCGTGGGGAAGCTTGCAAGTGAAGTATGAGGCCCCAGCTGATGTGGCTCAGTGGACTGAGCACTGGCCTGCGAACGAAAAGGTCGTAAGTTTGATTCCCGGTCAGGGCACTTGCCTGGGTTTTGGGCCAAGTCCCCAGCTGGGGGTGAGTGGGAGAGGCAATAGGTCCATGTTTCTCCCCGTCTCTTTCCCCTTCCTTTCCCCTCTCACTAAAAAATAAACAAAACCTTTAAAAGGAAAAAAAAGTGTGCTTGAGCTGTGAGCACCCACTCTTTAGGAGGCAGGGGGATGGGATATAATCTTTGGCAGAGCAGTGGTAGTCTAGAAAGCGCTAATTAGGGCAGCCTGGAGCTTTTCTTTCCTACTGCAGAGAAAACTTGAACTGTATCAATAACGGCGCCTAACTTTTCCTAAATATCTAACACTGGTTTTACCTGTAGACCTCACCGAAGCCCTCCGAGGTAGGCATACGTATGTTCCCATTTTGCAGATGAGAAAAACCGAGGCAGAAAGAATTTAAATCTCCCAACGTCACAATCACGTCTAGAGCCTGTATCACAGGTGTAGGAAGGGGCAGGGCTGAGACTCGAGCCCAGGCAGTCTGACACCCAGGCGCACTCTCAGCCACAACCCCAGGTACCCCAGTCACAGGACCAAACAAATGATAACAGCCTTCCAAGGTGTGGTTATCCCTTTTACAGATGAGCTTTAGCGAGGTTAAGCAATGATTATGTGGCTAGACAATAATAGCCATCCCTGACGTATTTTTTCCCATCTTTTATACTTATTTTTTAAATTTGCAAGTCTGTTTCAGTTTGACTTCAATGAAAAAAACAATAGTCTCGGTTGCAAAATGTTGTGTGGTCACTTTTCTCCAAATCTTCAATCCTTTAAAACCCGTATTACCTTGAGGGCTGTTCAGGCATTTCACTCCTGCTTGTTTACGGAACCTGCGAGTTCCTGGTGACATAGGATGTCAGGCAGCGAGTATCAGCTGTATCGTGTGTACACAGAAGATTAGAATTAACTCCAAGGGCCCAGCTGGCACAGTCTTCATGCTTGTTACATACATACCACCAAGTTATATTGTTTAGTTTGAGAAAAGCAACACACAAAACACCTTCTTAGAAAGTCACAATGCACGTTAGCATATTTAAGGCCTTGGACATAAATAAAGTAAACTTGGACTGAATTTACCAAGTTTGCCCGAGACATATTAACATCCTCTGGCACAAGCGTTCTGTGGAACACAGTTCAGCAAATGACGTGTCTGATAGAGCAGAACTCACACTCCTTAGGAGGGCATTCATAAACTGACTCTGCTATTTTCTGCCTCATCTCTCGCAATGGCACTGCAATTTTTTCTGTCCTGCAATCTGCCGTCTTAAACAGTGCACTCGTTAGGAATTACACCGTGACAGGTAGTTGTCACATTCCCTAGATACAAACTTGGGTTTCAGATGTCATCACTGCAGTCATTCTCCAAAGAAAAAGGGCAGAAAACAGGCTTCATTCCGTCAGGTCAAAGGTCACGTGAGATTAAGTGCTATCATACACCCATCCAACAGAGGGAAAAACCACAGGAATGGAAGGGGGTTACAGAAGCATCGGCAGCCCCCAAACCAGAATGCTCAGCTCCTCCCATCCCAATCTTAATTCAACATTTCAGTTGGTGATGGTTTGGTATTCGAGAGTCTGTATTTGCCACCTCAATTACCTACAAAACTGGAGTGAGGGTATTTTTAAAAGAACTCTCACCAACCAAGAATTAAAATTATAATGCAAACAGAAAGCGTTAGGCATGGCACGGAGAACACAGACACAGAAACCTAAGAAAGCTAAGCACAGAGAGAATACCGAATCGCCCTATTTGGACTTCCCCGCTGGTCCCACAGTATGTGATGACCATTGGTAGGGATGAGCGTCGTCTCAGTTCTAACACACATTCTGGCCCCTGTAGCTCTGGGCCTTCCCCACTGAATGCAGGAGTAACCACTTTGTCCAGGTGGGATCTGAACTGTAATAGAATCTGTATGACCAATTCGACGGATCCCTCACTCGGCAATTATATACATACTTTGTGTTTTCTTCAACTAAAGCTGAGAAAAGTGAAGTTTCCTCCAACCCAATTAATTATTAAGGGATCCCCATGAAACAATTTATTTTCTCTATGTGGAACATTTATTTTTCTTTGGATGTTACCACCAGAGAGGAAAGACAGTGGGTCCCAGCAATTCATCTGTAGCCAGTGTTGAAGGTTGAATTCCTTGAAGAAGTTATGTTAATATTTATGGCTGCCTGGCAGGGAATTTTGTTGAATGATAGGCATTTCTCTAGTGAGCTAATCATACTGCTTCCATTACTTTTTTAATTCATGTATTTAGCACATTAGTAAAAGACTGCTTTTCTACTCTATTTATACAAACCCTGGTACTTCTTAAATCTCACTGATACAGACCCCAGTGGAATTTCTGAGACACTTTGAATATATACATGAAAACTGTTAAGAGAACATTTTCTTCAGATGTTCTCTTAAATATGTATGATGTAAATTATATATATTCTTAGACAGCTGGTGTTGGCTGTTGTTGTTGACCAAGAGAAGGCAGGCCTCTTACCCTCTTGTCAAAACGCTAAATTAGTGATTACCATAGAACTGGATTTCATTGAATTGATTTTTGTTGTTTTACAGAAATTCAAAGATAATTGTTAAATGTTGTGGTGGCTTTTCTGGTGTTGACATGTATTTTTTTTATCAAAACTACAAAAACTCTTCATGTTTTCCTACAGTGTATAGTTACTTTAGCTTTTCCCAGGAGAAGCTAGCAATAGTTTCAAAAGCACAAATTGATGTAAAATATCTCTACTGTGGTGACATTTAAAGATATTTTATTTGCATCAACCAATGATGTTAGGATATTTTTTGTAATAATAATTATTTAAGTGGTGTAATTTGTGTGCTTATGAAATGTATTACATAGCTTATTGAAGTTATATGTACTGCACTTTTCAGAAACGTTACTTGGTGAGCAGAGTGTAGCCCTCCGTCTCCACTCGGAGCGAGACAGGACAGGTGCCGTCCTCTGTCAGTTCAGCCTGTCCCCGTTCCTTATCCATCCACAGAACCGGGCAAATCCATATCGGAATTGTTACCTTTGTCTAAAGGGAACCAAACTAGCCATTTAATAATAGACTGTCTTTAATGGGTTGATAAAGGAATATTATTGACAAAAACATTTTTTAAGATGAATAAAGATGTAGCAGACAATCTGAAGGTGGCTGTGTGAGAAAATACGGTTCTAACATTGACGAACACCGTTTCTGTGTACGTGTGCCGCAGGGCATCCATTATCTTTGCTGACCTTTT